CTTTTGGAATTTACGTACATAAAAAGTTAAAATTTGGAATTTATTTACATAAAAAGTTAAAATTAACTTTTCAACTTTGTCTTTTTCAGTTTCTTAAGTTGAGTTATTTACTATTAGCTTAGAATGACTGCTTTCGTAACTTCTAAGCTAATATGTCATTTTCCAGGCATTTAAAATTTTGTGAATTTCTATTTTATTTATTTTTTTTGAACAAATGTCAATAAACTACACTGCTGTCTGTAAGATATTAATAAATGTAACTAAATAAATATACAAAAAAAAATTACCCTTAAGTGGATGAACTTTTCTGGTGGTAACAAAATGTTTTGGCAAAAAAATAACAAATATATGTATAAGAGATTATAATTGTGTAGTGAAGTTATTTTTTAGTGATGACAAAATTAAACAAATTTATTCTAATGGTTTGGTGCAAAAACCACTAAGTCCAAAGCTTCTAAAATATTTCTTAATGCATTTTTTATTGTGAACACTAGCTGTTTGGATTAGTGCAGAAATGGGTACAGACCTTCTTTTGTGGTGAATTGTGTGAGAAAACTACATAAAAAACTACAAAACTAGTCTTTTTAATTTAATTTGGCTCTCACTAACAATTTGTAAATTTAAAAATAAATTTGAGTCGTGGTGGCTCAGGGGATAGAGCATTCACCCTCGTTGAGGTGAACTGGGTTCAAATATCAGCTGTTTGATACAAATTTGGTACTCGGCTCGTACCAACCACAGTACTGACGTAAAATATCCTCAGTGATAGTAGACGGATCTTGGGTAAAAGTTCCATTGCTGTCAGGCTAACCGTGGGAGGTTTTCATCTCCATGACACGCAAATTCAGGTTAGTTCCATCAGAAAGTTTTCCACAAAGGCAAGCTTATCCTAATACTTGATCTAGGAGTTTCCTTGTCTTCTGGATTGGGTTCAAAAGTATGGACTTAAGACTATGGAATTAAACAGTAGTAGTCATAAATTCAAAATTGGATCGGCTGTTTAATCACAGTTATAAAATAAAATAAAGTTTTTGAATTTCGACTTAACTTGTTCTTGCACCAAGCCCCTACCACACGCTTTTTGACTACCACAGGGAAATAAATAATTCAAAGAAAGTAAAATATATAAACTATATTGATAACTAAAAATCATTATTCCATGTAACTACTGGATGGTATAAGATTCAAAGTAGTTGTAGAATATATAACTAAATTTTGCATCAGTTTAACTTGACAGGGACCATATGTAAATTGGACAATCAAATGTAGTATGTAACATTTACCAAATACATTAAATAGCCTAATACATAATACAATTAAACAGTACATAATATACTAAATAGTGCATAGCATAAGTATGGTATGATTTATTGAAATATGCTATAATTTGCTGAAATACTATAATGAGCTGCAGTAGCAAACAAAATACATAACAACAGATATCTTAGTTAGTCAAAAGTAATAAATACTTAAAAATCCTACTAACTTTCATGATAGAAGCTTCAATTGTTTTCTATTTTATAATTATTACATTTATAAAAATTCTACACTTTGATTAAAAAATAAAATATTGTGTCTATAACAGATTTTATTGTGTCTATAACAGAAAAGAATATCTTTATCTCAAATCAGTATACAAAAGATTATTTGATAACACATAAATCTTTTTGTTTTAATAATAAGAAAAAAAGTAATTATTATTGTAGTTCCTTTACCAGGGTGTTGCTAATTAATTTCTGGAAAAATTGACATAGTTCTCAAAATATAATTCTAAAGAATAATACACACATATATGAATTGAGAAAATGAGAGAATAACATTGGTAAACAAAAACACCAATAAAATCATAAAAATATGGAAAAATTTAAGTTGATATGCATCAATGCAAGATTATTATCACTCTTACATAATATTTTGTTGAGTTAAACAGAACCATAACATATAGATACAAATCAAATTTTTGAGTTTTAAATCATGCTAATGATTTTAAAGAATTCAAACAAAACACAGTTTACCATTCACAACCACCTACAAATCTTGATAAAATTTAAAAAAAACAACAACTGCTTTTAGTTCTAAGTATAAGTCAAAATCTATAGAGAAATAATTGCATTCTATAAACTTAAAATACAGTAAGCAATAAAATTAGTATTAAATACAGCAAATAAAATTAACAGTAAACAAATGTTTGCTAAATTTAAATAAAGCGTTTTTCTACTGTTAATTACGTTCATGACACATTTGCGTTGAAAAACTAATAAATTTTTTGAAACAAAATTCAAGTAAAGAACTAAGCTAGTGGAAAACATATGCTTGAAATTTCGAATTTTATAGGCTGTAGAAGAGATTTTACTTTTTCCTGAGTTTCTTTAAATAGTTTTAAATTCCCCAAGTTTTCCCTGATTCAAATGGATCATGTTCAAGCAGATCTCATTGCCTAAATATTATCAGCTCAAACTTTCTCTTTTCCAAGTAGATTTGAATTGTAGGGTTGTTAATAAAAAACTGCTTTTGAAACTTATCATTGGACTTGATGAATATGACATATTTTAAATAAAGTGGGATATTGTTATCACTTTAAGCAGCTAGAGGAAATTCTGAAATAAATAAAAAAAATGTTCCAATTTTTAAACATTATATCTCTCCTAATAAATATTTATTTTAATAAATGAATATTTTCACATTAAACACAACTGTTCAAAATCAGAGAGCTAAATGTTTATGGCACTACATTACAAAGCTTTTGCAACAAAATGATAGCAAGTATAGCTGATTTCGTTGCTGTTGATTATTATTAAAAAAAAAAACTTTTGACAAAAGAAAAAATAATTTTTTTAACTAAATACAAAAGTAAATTAGGCATTCTGAACCATAATGCACAGTACGGCTATTTGTAAGACTATTATTTATAAGACTATAACAAACTTTCGACCAGTTCTATTGTAGAAAACATGTTAGTATGAAAACAGCCTAAGAATAACTATTGTTCTATGAAAATATATTGTTTCTTGTTAAAATAGTTTGCACATGTTAGTTAAACTAGTTAGAAATTTTTAAAATACACGTCTAACATCTTGATAATAGCCACATGAATATTATTTTAATAAATAAGAAGACAATAAATCATGTCTAGTTTAATCTGAGAAAAAAGAGAATAATTTTTCAAAATTAGTAATGTTATTCAATAATTTAATATATGGTTAGTAGTTGACTTTTTTTTCAACAAGTGCTTAAAGTAATATGTCTAACACACAAGAACAGCTAATATACAACATTATAAACAGACAGATAAAAACAGACAACTATATACAAAGTTGAACATAATGAAATAAATAGATTCAAGTATGCTAAATGCAATTATATTCTAATTAATAATTTTTTCAACTATTACATTTTTGTAAATATGCAATGTAAAAAAAAAAGTAATAAATTTTAGAATATTTAAACAAAACAATATAGAATAACATAAATCATAGTTTTGTTCAATAACAGGCAGATGGGTAGTGGAGGTGTTATGCAGGATAACATTCTACTTTACACAGGTTTTTTGTTTTTTAAAAAATCCCCATTTTCTTCAATTTTGCAGTTTTTTTCATAAATTGTAAATTTTTTAAGGGTTCTCATGGTTCTTAAAAGCACTTAATTTGGAGTTAAGGATTGTAAAAGTTCTTAGTTTTCAGTATCACGTGTTGATTGGAACAATATTTAGTCTTATTTAAATATTTTAAACAAAACAATCTTTCACGTAGAATGAGAGGTGAGCATTTTTAGGTGAGCCAGGGTACAGCATTTTGCACAACAAAGGGAGGAAAGCATGGCCTTGCTATGGTTCTTTCCATAGCATTTTTTTTTACAATTCTAAGGAACCTAAGTATACCACACTGACCTTTGACACAGATTTTGAAATTTGACAGCTAAAGAAATTTGATTCCACTGGTGGCGCACATGCTTATTTTCATTAAAATTTGAAGTGTGAAATTGTTAAACATGGCAGTAAAGTATGTTTTTAAAAATTTCAGGACTCTTGATGAAAAATGTAAGACCACAAAGCAAAATATGCTGTAAAGAATTTGATATTGTTAGCAAGGAAGAGAGTGCTTCAAAAGTTAATATCACATTCTCTATTGTTAGACAGGCGTCTAGGTTTGACCCAAACAAAATAGTATTGCAGTGCATGAAAAGTTAGAAATTGAATAAAAGCATTTTATCATATTTAGTGGATAAGAGGATGGATATGAAATTTTACTTCAGTTCAAGGACTTTTTAGACAATGTAGTAAAATAATCCTTTTCGGATTTCAAAATCTTGAGAGTGAAACTTTTTGCATGAATATTTTTCTATTGACAATGTGCTTGCTAATAAGGGGGGGGGGAGGAGAAAAAGCCATTTCCCTGTTTTTAAATTATATGTTCTAAGAAAAGAAGTAACAGACAATTTTTTTCAACAGAAGGTCCATAGCAGAAACTTTTTCTAAAAGACATGAAGAATTAAATCAATGTGCATAAAATTTCAATGTGTAATAAGTAGTTAGTGTAAATTTTTTAAAAGCAGTAATATCTTTTAAAATTTTTAATTGTACTAAAAAGTGAACCGTTCTGAAATAATTGTAATGACAGTGCTTGGAATAGAGTGAACTTTTTTTTCGAAAGGTAAATAATTGGCACTGTCAATGCAGGTATATGTAGAATTGGTGATAAACAACCAAAATGTAAAAGTTCCTAAAGGTAATTTTAAAGGTCCTTAATTTTTTCAAAAAAGTTTTAAATTTTTGCTTTGATAAAAGTGTGGGAACCCTGCTTTTTGTTTGCAATAAAATTTGTTTATTTCTGTAATTTTTTAATACTTTTATTTTTATTACTTTCATTATTGTTTATTTATTACTATAACCTTTTTTAAAAGATAGTTAAAAAGTAAACATTTTGTGAACAGTAACAGCCCTCACTTTTTTAATTAAACAAGTAATCATGCTATGAATTTAAAATAAAATGTATGAATTTGTAAAAAATCTTACTTTAAAGTGGTATGTATAATTTAGAAAATTTTAAACTAAATAAAGTAAGAAATAACAACAACAAAATTCTGTTTTTTATAAGAAAAAAAAAAGGATTCTTTAGCATTCTCCCACTGAAAAATTTGTAACTACAACACTGATAACAGAGGCATATATTTAACTGCTTATAAGATACCTCTGTCATTCATTTAATATTTTTACTTCATAATCAGTTTTATTTCAGATATTAAATAAAAATCTTCTTGGTTTATGTGCTTACAAGAATTAATGTTTAGACCATTAAAGGTAAATACACGATAATGGGGCTTAAACGATAAAATGGAATGAAAAAAATTTGAAAAATTACACTATTGAAAAAAATTAAAAATGCACGTTAGATTATCATTTCTATAGTATAAAGCTACTTAATAAGGTTTAAATTTATTTGTGTAAAATGTTGATTAATAAGAACATCAGAGCTGTCAACTCCTCTAACTTTTAGATGAAAGTTTTCCCAAACAATTAAAGAGTAGTAAAAATTATGCTTAAACATTTGATTATTAGTTAGATAAATTTGATTAATTTGGTTTTGTCCATAATGATATATAGAAATATTCAAAAATATAAAAATAAGTCCTGATAATTATACTGCAATTTTTTTAAATGCGGGCAAAATTTCAAAAAAATTCTTAAATGATTGTAATTTCACTACCAATTTAGATATTGTGGCAGGCTATAATATGATGGTCAGCAGTTCTGTTACACTTATGGCTGCTAATGTTAACAAAATTTTTTTTAAATTCTTATTTTAAATACTAACAAATTCAAAATATAGTTGAGATGAGTGTTATTTCGAAAGAGTTTCTTTAAAATGATTAATGGAATGGCTTCATATATGTTGCGAAAAGATTATCACACAATCACCTTGCACTAAACAAAATATGCTACTAGTTTTCATAAAAACAAAACTAAATGTCCCTAAATTACATAAAAACAAAACAAAAAAATTATCACAGAAGTGTTTAGACAGGACTGGTATGGAGAGCATCACTGCTATTAATGATGGCGCTTGCTTTTTAACTTTTCTATTAGGTTGCAGATTTTCAAAGCTGGTCCTAATTTCACTCCCATATATTTCATCATCATTTCACTATTTAAAAGTAACAAGGCTTTTCCATCAATTTCCTACAATATTAATAATTAAAGGTAGATAACTCATAAAAATTAAAGGTAAATAGCTCAAAATTTTTAAATAAAAGAACTTGATATGAAAATGTGCAATTACAAAAACTTACATGTTTTCGAAAAACATCTGCATATGCACTCATATTTTGATCTGTATTACAAATAAAATGAATTACATCATCAATACTCCACTCATTTGGTTTGGAAATGCTTCGTTCAACTCTTATATGCAGTTTCGCATATTCTGTAAGATAAAAGTAGTGGGAAAATACTTAGAAATATACATGATGTATTCATAATACTATGTAAGATATAAGTATGAGACAATTAAGAATGAGAAAGAATAGATTTTAGAGAAAAATTAAGATTTATTAAACGTGCATAAGCTACAAGTACACAAAACCCATAATATAATGCAAATCATTTTAATAATGCTGGAATTCTTGAGTTGTTAGGTCATATAAATCAAAATCTAAATTTACCATTATTTTCTGAAGACTGACTGGAAGAACGTTGTTGTTTAATTGGTTTCATTAGTGCAATTGTATTGTTGCCTGAATGATTTTCCGAAGAGTCTGATGACCATCGCCGTTTTTCTAACCTAGGGTTCTCTCCACTTATAACCATATTATCTTCTGACACTAAAATAAAATTAACAAATGAATTATCTTGCAATCAATTTCTAAAGGTTATCAATTATAACCAGGGATTGCCATTTGTTTGGTTACCCATTAAAAAACACACTTTAATCACAATTACATAAGCTAATCACAACTACAAAAATAAATAAAAATAGGTTGTGATTAAAATATTTGTTTTGGTAAATTTCTCAAATAAATTAACAGGGCACCCACTCAATTTTTTAAAAAAATTCAAGGACTTTCATGGACCCAAAATCGAAATTTTCAATGACCTATTTGGTATTACGTGTCAACCAAATATGCTAAAGTACATGACAACCAAATTTTACAATTACGTAGAAGCAGAAATTGCATATTTTTAAAGCACAATGCTTATTTGACAAAAAAAAATATTTATTAAATTTATCAGCTAATAATACAAATGGTTGATAGTTAAATTGCTGTTTCAAATAACTTTAAAAATTCCAACTGACAAAATAAAAATTTCAATTGGCATACGAACAGTGCTAGCCAAAATTTAAAATCTAGCATCAGTGAAACTCTTCATGAAAAATTTAATGAAGGGAATTAGAATTAATGAAACTCAATTAATTAATAATGCATATTACATTAAGCAAGCAAAGTAAATAATTGATAAAGTTTGTGTGATTGTACAGTTATTAAAATATAAATATTTTTTTTAATATGTTAGATCAAATTTTAGGTTACAGGAAATGTATATAATTCGATAAAATATCAAAATATATCCATTAAACATATCTGTTTCAATTTTAATAACAAAATATCTATTTTGTAACTTCAGAATATTTGAACTTAATAAAATCTATTGTAGAACAATATTTTACTGATAACTAACTAAGACTTACCAAGCTTTATTTTCTTTAAAATATATCCATAAAATGTGAAGCATGATTTTTAAAATTTTTTGAATATACGTAATTTTCACTGAGCATAATTTTTATATCACATTTATTCAAATATGGATATACTATATGCTAATCAAAATTACAAGAAAGGTGAAGTAAGTCTCGATTAATAATTAAATTATTAATTAATAATTAACTCATAAATTAGGTATCACAATGTGTGGTTTGTAAATAGAAATTGAATTGCAGTGTATGTTTCTTAAATCAGAACAATATGAATAGCAAATGATACAAAACGCATGAACTAACAAGACGTAAATCACAATGTGTGATACATAAATATCTTTAATGTGCATTCTGTTGCATGATTAGCTAATAGTTTTCATGTGAATAGTGATCATTATGATGCAAATTGCAATTTGTGATTCACAAGGTGCTTAATATAGAACAGCTATGTGTGATTCTTAAATTATTTTGATGAGAATTGTGAGTGGTAATTCTTAAATCTCTCTTTTGTGAATCGCAATGTGTGATTTTTAAACTACTAGGATAAGAATCGTGAGGCATGATTGATAAATAACTTTAATGTGAATCATGATGTGTGATTTTTCAAAATACCTTAATACAAATCCTGATGAGTAATTTGCAAATCACTTTAAAGTAATATTCAATATGCGATTCATTAAGCACTTTAATTTAAATCGCAATTCGTAGAACATTTTATATGAATTCCAATCCGTAAATTAAGAATCACAATGTTTATTCATAATCAATGAAACCTGTAGAAATAATTTTTTTTATTAGCAGTAAAAACTAAATGCAAAAATTTGATTATAAATGATATAAAATTAATTATCCAATCAAAGAATGAAACTAATTTACAAATTCAGAAAATGACAAAATAAGTAACTTTTAAAATAATAAATATATATAGAAAAGCGCTTAAAGCAGCTAAATCCAAATTTATAAAGTATTATTTTATGTAAGTTTTATTTTAATTTATAAAGTCAGAAAAAAATTCTAGTAGGAAAAAAAAAGATTATAAAAATTTAAGATATGTGTGTTAGCAGGACAGCGCTTCATCAGGGGGCACACTGCCTGCTAACACACAGGAGCCTTTTTGTTGTCAGTGGTGAGATCAAAAACTGACAGTGCCTCGAGGCCCAATAATGGAAAGTCAAATAAGAAAAAGCAATTAGAAAAATTGAAATCAGGGTTCCCACTCTATGATGAGATTGAAATTCAAGGACTTACCAGGACTTTTCAAGGACCTCAACAAAATNACAAAATAAGACATAATAAAGAAACGCCCACAAATAAGAAAAATAAATGAAGATAAAGTTACAGTTAGTATAGCCACATCAAAATAAAATATAAATTGCCAAATCCTTAAAGAAATAAATCAAGTGCTGACCCCTTTTTTGAAAATCTTCAAAAAATAAAACAGAAAAACATTCAATGAGTAAAAATCATAAAAAAAGTGCTCTCATCTATATGCTTCAGGAACATAAAATCCTAAATTTCACCGTGTAGTTATTTTTATGACTTCATAAATTAAAATTAACAATTCCTTTGTACATAAATTAAAAGAACAAATAGGATAAAAATATTAACATGTCATAATAATGAAGTTAACACATTGAACATATTTCTAAAATGATTAAACACTATATATCATTAGAAAACTATGACTACAAAACCTAAAATTTGCTAGAAATTTCAGCTTTCAAAACATAAGAGAGATGAACAAGAATCTGGTGTGAAAATTCTAAGAGAGAAAAGTTTTGCATCTACTTTAACCCTTTTTCAATTCAAGCATTAAAAATTGCATATATCAGAATTTCTATAACCTTCCTTTGAATTTATTTATTATTTTTTATAGCTTTTTTGTAAGAAGGATTAGTATTATTTTAAATCCTAAAAAGTCAAGTACTTTTCAAGTACTCCATGGCAGAATTCAAGGACTTTTCAGGGCCCAGATTTTTTTTAACTAAATTCAAGGACTTTCAAGTACCATGGGAACTCTGATTAGGAGTGGATAAAAAAATTATGAATTCGGGCAAATTAAATAAGTTCAATTAAAGGAATTAATACAAAATTTAGTAGTCATAACTCACTATAAGGAGGAGATATATATTATGTACAGCAATAAACAGATCTGAAATCTTTAATAACAAACCAAAACACAAAATGATACAATGCTTTTCAATAAAAATATAATTAAATAATGCATCAGTTAATTATAATTTTTGGAAGTTCATTTAGAACTTAAAATGATATAAACTAGACATTCTTTTATTCTGTTACCTATTTTATCAAACAAATAAAAGTAGTTCAAAATATGAATAAACAATTTTAAACCAGTAAATGATCATATTTATTATGATTCAACCAAGTATAAAAGTTAAGTTTAACTTTTTATATTCTTTTCAAGTTCAATTTGTTAGCTAGCAACATGCATAAATGGAAGATTTGAGTGTCAATTAATTAATTTCGATCAATTCTAATGAATAAAGGATTAATTTGAAATGTATTTAATTTTATCTTTGACGCTCAATTCTATATCAATATAGAAAGTTACAAAAACTTTTAGAAACTCTCAAAAAACAGTTTTGAATATTTAATTAAATAAAATTCAGCAAATTAAACAGAAATATGATAGATAGTAGATCATTAATTATATATCAGATTATTAATTATTATATTAAACGTTCTTGAAAAATTAATTTCTTTAACTCATAACATTAAACATAAATTAGAACAGTCAAAATAAACTATAAAAGGGTATTTTGATTAGCTTTTGCTCGGGTGCACAACGTTTTTGAGTGAAGGGCCACTTGCACAGCTGGTAGATTAAGGAAGGGCCGAAAGCATATTTAGGCATGTTAGAGGCAAATATGATAAATTTTAAATAAATATTCTAAGCACTAAGTTTTTTTAAACTTAATAACATATTTTCAGAAAATTAAATACTTTTAATTATTGGAATTTATTTAAAAATGAAAAGCTCATCCTTTTTTTTTAAAAAAAAACTTTTCTATTTTTCACAATAATTAATTTATCAAAAGAAAAAAAGAACACACATACATTTATTTATACATAATTTATGTATTATATACATAATATTGGGGGATATAAATTCTAACCAAAGGAACAAAAATGTAGAGCTTACAGAATGAAAGCAAAAAATTCTACGAATTTTATAGAGTAATATAAATTTGAATTAAATAGAAAATTTATAACGTTTAAACAAAAATTAAAAAAATAAATAAAATTCAATATTTATTACCGTAATTTCGGGGAGATAGGCCGCGGCGTTATTGATTTAAAATTTGAAAATTTAGTAGGAAGGCGTATCTAACGGGGCGGCCTATATAGTATTACTTTTCTTTCCCTTCATTAAAAAAAATTTTTTTTTACAGATCCCACTGGAAATTTCATCATAATTTTTCCACCTGTTACCTTTGCTTTTTATTAATTTTTTCATGCTTAATGTTACTCCAAGGAATGGTCAGGGCACCTGGAATTTTTCCCTCCCCACACTCCACAATCCTTTCTTGGAATCACTTTCTGGAGACCACAATCCACAAAAGAAAAAAGTCTCTGTTTCCCTTCTGCCATATGAACAGCTGTTGAGTGTAGGAAATGGGCGTGGACTGGAGAAGCATAAATCAGAAAGGAATGAATGAAGAAAATCAGGGTGGGGCCAGTGATAATGTCAACTGTAAAACAAATGCACCCCCCTCCTTTTTTCCCAGGAAATATGCCTCTCTCCACATTCCTTTTTTCTTCAGCTGGTTGTTAAAAACATGTGAATGTTTGATGAACAAAGGGTGCTGATGAGTTTGGAATGACCTTCAATAATCTTACAATTGGAATGTTCAAAAAGAATTTCAAACTTGGGTCAGTGAAGAGGGGAAAAGGCAGCAGAGTCAGTTAAAAAAAGAAACCTGATTTGAGAAGGGAAAATAGGGGGAGGAATTTATAAAAATAGAAACTTGTTTTAAATGCTTGGGAGAGCGCTTTTCGTTTTTCCCCCCATTGCTTTTATCTTCAATTCTGATGCGCTTTTGTTTTATTATTATTTTTGTTTTGTTTATTCTATTTTCGTTTCATTTTAACATAACTTGTATTTAAATTATCCATTTTAAATGCCTCCAATTAAGAGAAAAAAAATATACCACTGCGTTTAAGCTGTCAGCAATTGAAAAAGAAACTGTGATAAATGGCTTCAAAAAAGCGGAAATCATCCCGGGACAAAACGAAACCGAAAGTGAGGCTGAAAGTGTCAGGGACGGAGATGAACCCGAAATAAACAATAAACCTAATTTGTTCTGATACAGAGAGTTCTGATTTTGAGGAATTCTTAAGTGCAGTGATAGGAATATATAGTAATATCTAAATAAATTATTCATAAGTTTTTCTTTGAAATTTTTTTTTTGGATTTATCGTTTGTTTCAAAAACAGGATTTTGGATTTAATAGTAACCAGGATTTAACAGTAAAATCGCTTTATTTTAAAAAATTTTAATGCTTATTTTAATGATTTTTAATATATTAATTATTGCATTTATATTTTAATGGTTACTTCACTTTAAAATTAAAAAATGCTCAATTTTATTTAGAAGGTTATTGAAATCTATTTTATATGCTAGGATTGTTTTTATTCTTTGTTTATTCAAAATCCTTTTATTGACTCTTATTTAACTATTTAAATTATAAACGCATGCGTATTTAGAGCATGCTTTAAGTCTTTAATCAACACCTGTGCTAAGTTCAAAATTCGTCAATTGTTACAAATTCAGAGCGGCGTGTCCGGTGAAAAGCTTTTCTCTTTCAGCCGACTTTTGAGAGCGCGGCGTATATACCAGGGCGGCGTTTCTCCGCGAAATTACGGTATGCATTATTTTTCAGATATTATTTCTATTTCTTGAATTATTAGAGGTTTTAAAATTTTTAAATAGAAAATGTTTTCTTTTTAGTTTTTTTTCTAAAAAATCAATAACTATAAATAAATATCAATAAATCAAAAACAATATTTTCTATTCAAAAACAATTCCAAACTCTTTCAGGATTTCCAGAATTCTGGTTTTCTGATAAAAAGTACGTTCTAAAGCTTATTTTCTTTAAGATCATATGATTCCAAATAATTTGCATATTTTTGAATACTGCCTTTTAATTTGGGACATACTCAACACTTGGGGACAACACTTACAACAAATTTGGGACATACACTTAAAAGTTGGTACATGCTTACCAGCTAAATTACATCAAGGATAAAAAGTGCATGCAAAAGAGTAAATTTTTGATTTAGAGATACACACCTCTTCTAAATGGTCCTTTATTTGCACATTTCGTGCACCCACCTTCAAGTGGACGACTAGTATAAAAATTTTCACAGCACATTAGGTCCTCAAAAAGACCTTCCAGATAATGCCAGAACGTTGAAACATTATCAACAGGAGGTAATCGGCAAGTATGTGTTTTATCATCAAAGTTTGCTAAAAATAAAGAAAATTCAAATGATTATGCATATATATGTAAGCATTAAGACTGTTTTTAGCTTTTTTGCCTATGAAAAAAAAAGTCACTGTTTGAGTGCCTTAAATTCAAATTACCTCAAATTTAATTTTATATTAGTCAATTTGTTTTAACTTGAAGTGAGATAACTCAATTTTTTTGAGGTTCTCACAATTTTATCATTATAACTATGTTAATTATTATTAATCGCTCAATATTTACTTCTGCCAGAATCAAAAGAGTACTATACTGCATTAAAAATTAAAGGATTCAATGTAGGTAAAATGGATGTATTTAAATTTATCACCTTTATTACAAAACCACCAAAATGGTTTATCATTTGCAGATAGAATTTTTGTAAATGCGCTTATTGCTTAAAAATTACAAAGCAAAAGTAAAAAGCTAAGCTTAAACTCAAAAGAAAAAAATTGATTTCATGAATGATGTGGATAGAAATCTAATAACAAAGGGAAAAAAATCTACAGCTTTAAGATATAGAATTTTTTCAAACACACTATTGAGAATATTAAGAGAAAATGCTTTTAACAAAATGAATCCGTAAATATGTTGTCAAAAAGACAATTATCAATATTTAAAAAGAAGCAAAGACAATAGATGAATTAAACAGTAAGTTGAACTCCTAATAAGTCTTAATTTCTTTCTAGCCTTATTATGTCAAAGTTCGTGTTCCTCACTTTTTTTCAAAAATAATGCTTTCTGATTTAGAGAAATTATTTAATTCATGAAAATTATATCGACTGTATTTTACATACATATGATTGGTCAAACATAAAAAACATGATCGGCTATTAACCAGATATTCTGCAGTTTTATTGAGTGAAATGTTGACACTATGCTTCCCTGAAGCATTATACTCTATTCAAATCTGGTGAATAAGTTCACTCAATGGATCTTCAGGGTTGCCTCTCAAATCTGGAAAAAAATTCCCTGTACATATTATACACAATATATTAAGAGGAAACAACAATTACTGTGCTCTTGTGTGAGCTATGTTGGGCTAACTATGTGTATTAGTTTTAATTGCTGGAAAGATAGCTGAACATACTTAAATAATGCTATAAAAATGAAATAGTTTAGTACAGCTGAAATATCATGGTTAATTATCCCATAAATTAAGCTGTGAGTGGTCAAAAATAAGAAACAAAATTCCCTGTATATTCCTAGTATGCAAAGAAAAAAAAATCAAAATTCCCTGCATTTCAGGTGATTTTTAAATTCCCTGTATTTTACAAGTTTTCCCTGTGGAGTGGCAACCCTGATCTTTCAGTAAATTAATCAGTATGAAAATGAAGACAGTCTGTAAAATTCCATATCAGATTTTATTGATTAAAAAGTTCAAAATTTCCTTAAGAGAGGCATGTAATCATTAAAATTTCATAGGGAAAATTCTATCGAAGCAATTGATTAATATTGTGATTAAATACACAGCTTTTGAAAAAAGATATGCAGTTTAATATATTCATTTAAAAATCCAACATTTCATATGCATCAACCTTAAATGATGTAATCAGGACATGCAAATTTGAAATGTCATTTCTCGAAGCATTTGAAAAGAAACAATTTTGTGAGTCAGCTAAAAAATCACGACTTTTTGGTATTTCATAGCTAACGTGACCATTTATTTTTTTACTCGAAACGGGACATTGGTTTATTTAGGTCAAATCATAGGTAGTCAATGAAAAAAACAACACTTTTTTAAAGTTATTTATCCAGAAAAAGTTAGTTGGCTTAAAAGTTACGAATCACATACTATAGGTACTCAAAATGTTTAGTTATATTTATATTTATCAGAAGAACAAATTTGTTTTAATATAGCTGGTGACGATTTCCAGTAAGAATGGAACTCTTGGTACGTTTTTTTTATATTCACCTTAATTATCAACATTGCCTTTAGAACTGAAATTTGTAACTGGGTTTTCTCAGATGTCCACAATTTGTTCATAATCGAAAATACTCTTTCTACTGGAGCATTTGTAGCAGGCAAACATAAAATATATTAAATTACAATAGAAAAGTTTTCATGATGAAGATTGTTGGCACGAAAGTGTTTGAATACTTCCACCCAACGGGTTTCTGTGGAAACGTTTAAATTATTCCATTCCGTTATTTTTTGCAATGTAATGTAATTAGAAATTAATGAAAATTTGTCAAAAACTTCAGTATCTTTATTACAGCCAATATATTGCTTTTCAATTAATACATCCAGAGATTTTTGAATGTCTTCCCATGGGGGGACCTTTTTTAAATCTGCCCAATAAAATATCTCCATTTCTTTGGTAAGAAAGCAAGTCCACTGCTCCAGATATTCACGGCTTGTTTTATAAAATTCTGCAGCCGTCCTTTTCACAAATTCTTCATCGATATTAGTACCACTATCTTTCAATTTTAACATTAATTGACGGACCATAAATGGAAGAAACTGATTGGTTTGTTTCTGAGTTAAATTGTCTTTTAATTGATTGATTTCTTTTGCAGCTTCAATTGCCGATACAGTCTGACTTTCAAGTTTTAAGACAGCTTGATAAAAATTTGCTGACTGAGCGTGTAAAAAATAAAACCACAATTCGGATGTGGGAAAAAAAGTTTTTTAGTAACAGGGGACATTTTCCAATACTCAAAAAGTAGCTTTTTAACGGCTGATACATTTTCAAAACCCTCTCCAAAGCAGGCATAAGAGGAAGCCATCTATAGCCGAGCATTTGTTGATATTCCGTCTCAGTTTTGGCACAAAACTCCTTTAGAGCTTCAACTCGAATCGTATAAATATAAAAAAATGAATATATCTTCACAATGACGCTTTCGTAATCTACGGGTAGTCCATCTGCAGCAAATTTTATTGCATTGTGAATTACATGGGCTCACATCCAATACCTATTAATTCTTTTTTCAGAGATGATTGTAATTTCGTTAATACTTTGTTAGTTCCTCGCCTAACTGCACCTCCGAAATTGACGTTGGCATTGTCCCCACAAAATGCTACAACTTTTGCTGTCAAATTATTATCTGTCAACACTTGGTTTAAATAATTGACAATGATGTCAGAAGTTTCACCAGGTTGGTCTTGGAAATCTAAAATTTTTACTTGCACACCTAAGTAAGGTTGAAAAAAGCTCACTACAATGGGGTATATTTTCTTGTTACCGTGGTTTGAAGCGTCGTTTAGTATTGTAATACAATTGCACTTATCAAGGTCATCTTTTAATTCTTTCATTGCTGCAGGCAAAACATTTACTACATTAGCTTCTGATTTCGTACATGCGCATGTAAATTTGGGATCAAAACATGATTGAATCAATTTCGATGCACAATCATTAGAACAAAAACTGTGGTTTTTTTGTATCGTGTGATAAGCCCAGACGCCTTCTGCCGCTGCGATATCCAAGTCCTTCAAAGTTGGCGCGTCCGATTTCTCGAAAAAGTTTAATATTGAAGAACTCGAAGCGGCGGCACTATCGGCATTTTTATGTTTGTCAGACTTTAAATGCTGTTCAATATCAACACCACCACTGTGGGAAACACTAAATTCTGTATGACACTTTTCACATCTGATGGAGTATTTATTTGCTTGATAAATGGATATTTTTCTTGTAACCTAACATTGAAAGAACACTTGTGTTTCGGCATTTTAACTTGTGATTCCAAAGCAAAAGAAATTTAAATTATTTACCACATGAGCATCAAACAAAAACAAAACAAATAGCGAGAAGTGGGCAAATGAAAAGTTTGTCAAACAATAGTCAATAAGTCAACAAAACACGAGCGATATGATGTTGTGGCGACGTTAAAGAACAACAACAAAAACAACGACTCTCTAAAATACAAACCGAAATTTATAGAACAAAGAACAGCAGAATATATAAGAGTGTAAGTTGTAGTTTATGATTTCAACATACTCTTACAAGATAAATGGTGCTACATTAAAATTGAGAATTCAGTTGGTACATAGAGGTCACTACAACGTCTTGGCCACTCCCGGCTATCGTTGCGTCGACGAGGGTGCGGTCTCGCTCTCGCACAACGTTAGCTCGCGTCCGGTTGGTGCGGGCATAACATCGCGGTGGCGGGCAGGGCGGTGGCCGGCCGTCTGCTACTAAAATTTTCGCGTGGTTTCTGAAAACGGGACAATTTTGCGTCCCACTGTCTATTTCGGAGACTCGGAATTGTAAAAAGGGACAGTTCCGTTCAAAACGGGACGTCTGGTCACTGTATTCATAGCCCCTTTTCAAATTTGTGACTGGTTGAAACTCAGGTGCAAATAGTTCATTGAAATAGTGATAGTGGAACAACAGAAATTCTCAGGCTATGTTGTCTTCTCACTTGCTAGAGCTGAAGGATTCTAATATGGTCGATGATATCAGTCGCAATTTTTATGAGCCCAAACAATGCAATGATTGAGCAACTTTTCAAATAATAAATGCTTTTCATTTTTTCATATTGAAATTTTGCACTGTCTTCAAAATTTAACAGTAATGAATAATTGTTGCAAATTCATAATAATTTGAAAAGTTCTGTTTTATAAAGTTAAAAGGCATTTTTTGAATAACAATTAAGTCTTTAAATATCCATCCAAAACAATATGTTAAGTGTATTAAAAAACAGGGTTCCCACTCAATTTCCGAAAAAATTTCTGACTTTTCGAGGAAAATTTCATTGAAAATCCATACCTTATTTTAAAATATACCATGCAATTTTTCATCAGGATTTGATTTTTAATTTGTAATGTCAAATATTAGATTTTGTGAGCAAAAACATATAATAAAATGAGAATAAAAACGTGGAAAAGTTTCATTAAAAAGTGGAATTTTATAAAATAACTGTAGTAGATGTTAGAATTATTCAACTCAAACCTCAATAACTGATTCGACTGTTACTGACAATTCTAAGACAGGTTATTTTGCTGTTACTGATAATTCTAAGGCTCGTTATTTTCCAGGTATGTTATAAGTATTTTCAAGGTTTTTTTTAAAAAAAAAAATTAACATTTTTTCTGACTACTCCCTGCTTTTTTGAGTTAAAATAAAATTCCCAGACAATTCCAGGTTTTCCCTGTTCTCCCTGACCCTTGGGAGCCCTGCTTAAAACAAAAATTTCAAAATGTGTTTCATAATAAAAAAAATCTGTCTCTGTCTAAGTGCACTTAGTTTTACATAAATGCTTTCCAAAATAGTTGCATAAATATTGAAGATGGTTGCTATGTTTGCTCACAACTGATCAAAAGTCTGAGCATATGCTAGTTTTTGATCAAGATTTACTTGTGACCAGGGTTGGCAAGATTTTGCCGCAGGTGGAAAAAACCATGGTAAATACCGGTAAAAACCGTCCTGGCAAAAACAGGTTTTTGCCAAGCAAAGTGGCAAAAAGTGGCAAAAACCTATATTTTCCAAGATGAGAGGACAAAAACACATTTTTGATACAAAATTATTCCTAAAATTGAAATATATACTATGAATATAAATA